ACGTACGTACGTTACGTAGTAGTAGTAGTGTACGTAGTACGTACGGTCGTAGAGTGTAGGTAGTAGAGTGTGTAGTGTGAGTGTGTAGTAGAGAGAGAGAGAGAGAGAGAGAGAGAGAGAGAGAGAGAGGCACCTTACATCAAGCACTTGGATGTTTTCTTCTTTTTCTTTTCTCATTCTTATATATATATATATAGGACGAAACTATGCAACGCCTATAGGCGAAATGCTATAGTGATTTTGCCTATAGGCTCATCACCATTCAAAAAAATCAGACGGCGTGGATAAAACGACCGCCACGTATCTAGCATGCTGTGGCAGTATTAGGTCCGTGATGGTAAAAAATTCATGCGGAAGCGTCACAGACATTGCGCTGTCTGTTGTGGGTTCGATCAATAAACTGCCACAGACATAGCAAGTCCATGGTGGGGCGAAACACTACTCATTTTTGCTTATAGGCATTTTTAAGACTTTTCCATATATATATATATATAGAAAAGCTGATGTTAGTCCACTAGCTAATAACTACAGTGTTTTAGTCTACTAGATTGAATTTGGGCTGATCTGACGGTTATGACCTCATTTCGTATTTAAATTTTAGTAGTTTTGTTTGAAATCTAAATCATATGAAATTTTAGGCGTCCATTCTTCTCATCAAGGCGCACCTAATAAAAATGTTAAAAAACTAATTTGCAAAAAATAAATTGATCAAAATCCCTTTGAAAAGTTTCAGGAGTATTATGTCAATTTATTTTTTACGAATTATTTTTTTGTTATTTTTATTAGATTCTCCTATTTTTAAAGAATACATGCTCAAAATTTCATGTAATTTAGACTTTTAGAAAAAAAATTAAGATTCAAATACAAAATGCAATCGTGACTATTGGATCGGCCTAGATTCAATTTGGGTTGTTTCGGCTAGCATGGTAGCTGTTAGCTAGTGGGCTAACTTCAGCTTTTCCCATATATATATAGATATGGGAAAAGATGGGATTAGCCCACTACCTCATATGAACATATGAGCCCAACAATCTGGGCCGATCTGACGATCACGAATGTCTGATAGTGCTTGAATTTTTTTTTTCTACAGATCCAAATCACTTGAAATTTTAGTTGTGTGTTCTTCTCATCAAGGCGCACCTAATAAAAATATAAAAAAAAGTATTCGTGAAAAATAAAATGATCAAAATACCCCCCGAAACTTTTCGGGGGTAAGTTGGTCAATTTATTTCATATAAAATTTTTTTTTGATATTTTTCGAAGATTCACCTATTTTTTATGAACACACGTCTAAAATTTCAAGTGATTTAGATTTGTAGAAAAAAAAACTAAAATTCAAACACTACCGGACATCCGTGATCGTCAAATCTGGGACGTTGGGCTCACATGTTCATATGAGCTAGTGGGCTAATCCCATCTTTTCCCTATATATATATAGAGTAATGATCCTATAGGACTCTCCTCCACCCATGTGTCTAGGATCCCAAAGGATCACCATTAAATTTGGCACGGATCTCTAGAAAGGTTATCACATGGGTGTGGGACTTGACTTTTTTAGAGATCCGTGTCAAATTTAAT